TCACGAGAGGGGCCCCACGCGGAGCGTCGCGCCGAGGCGGCCGGGTAGGACAGGGCGGGGGGACGCGTGGAGCCTGCAGAGCCCGCGCAAACTCGGCACGGGGGTTAGGGCGCAGGCGCTGCTGGCCGGGACGCGGCAGCAAGGGGAACCCGCTACCACCCGGGTCCGGGGATCCCGCGTGGGACAGGGCGCTCCGTGCCGCTCCGGGCGCGCCGAGCTGCTGGCACGGGATAACGGGGAGAGGAAAAGGGCAAAGGCTCCTGGACACAGCGGGGAGCGGGAGCAGCAGCAGGGAGGAAGACCCTGCTCCGAACCCCACCGGGGACAGCAGCCCTGCTCATCCCGGGACATTTTTCAGAGCCTGGAGCCATCACTGCCATCCTCCCATACAGACCACGCAGCCTTCACTTGGTTTTCTCCTTTTAATGCAAAAAAATAGCCAAACACATCTTCCTCCCGCCCCCAACCCCGCTCGTCTCCTTTGCTTGTTGTTTTGCTTAATATTCCCAGCCAAGCAGCTCCCCCCTCCCGGCCCTCCCCAAACCTCCGGCGGTGCCGGCGCTTCTCCCCCTTCCTCCTTCCCGCCGCAGGGAGCGGGAGAGCGGCCGGGGCGAGTTCCGCAACGCGCCGCTTCGGACCCCGCAAAGAGCGTAAAGGAAGAGAGAAGGAGAAACCAAAGTACAAAAATAAACCCAACAAACGAGTAGCGACGAGCACGGAGCACCCCAGCACACAGTGTAAACAGAAGGCGCCCCGATCCGGAGTCCAGCTCTCCCGAAAAGCAACAGCACAACATGCTCCGTACAGCCCGACGGTCCCCGCAGCGGCGAGGAGGCAGGCTGTGGTTTTAAGCGCAAGTTGATTTTTTTTTCTTTTTTTTTTTCTTTTTTTCTGCCTGTATGTACAAGGCTGAAGTGATCTTGGAGTTTCCGAACAGCATCTGTAGCACCGAGCCTGGCCAGGTGGGGAAAGGGAAGAAAAGGGACTGTGGGAAGAGGCAGGATTGGGGTTTGGGAACCCAAGACCAGCAAGAGGAAGTCCAGGACTTTGCATCTGGCAAATGCGTTTGAGAGAAGGGAACAAATACAAAAAAAAAAAAAAAAGATATAAAAACCACTTGTGTGTTGGAGGAGAACACGGACAGTAAAGCCAGAATTATTGTTTTCTTCCCCAAAGCAAAAATAATAATAATAATAATAAAAATAATAATAATAAAAATCCCAGCTGAGGTGACAGTGAAGAGTCCAACTGCAATTCCTTCCCTGGAGGAAAATAAAAATACAAATGAGGTACCTGTTCCACCCCAAAGCCATCACCCGCTTCCCACAGTCACGTCACCGCTCCAGTCACTGGTTATGGTCTGTCGGAAACGAAGCGGTCCCGGCCGCGGGTCAGGCCG